GTCCCTTGTTGCTACCGTCCCCGGTCTCCCCTACTGCCCTTTCTTTAAAAAAGCATCAAGCACTTGTAGTAAATGATTTTGCTTCCTCCTCTCAGGAGTCTGTCACTGACTACACGGCTCCCTCCTCCTCTCTGGCTGACAGTGTTCCTACAGGAGGGAACAAAATGGAGGAGAGTTTAGTGGCCAATGTGAGCACAGACTATCAGAATACTCACACATTGAATTAAAAGCAGCTGGACTGTGTTGTTGTGGGTGCAGTTGTGTAACAACAGTGCTGTGGGCTGTTTTCCAGGTGGCGCTGCCCCACTCTCTGCCTCTTCCTCACAGAGAGACGCTGCAGCAGAGCTCCAGCCTCAGCACCGTCTCTCCTGCTACTGTTGATCTAACACTAAAGGTAAAGCAGCGTCCGGACCCCCACAAACCTTCACATGTCCCCCAACACCTCTTCATTCCATGTTTCACCCTCTCAGATGGAGTCTGCTCGTAAAGCGTGGGAGAACTCGCCGAGTTTGGAGAAGAGTTCACCGGTCACCTCCTCTTCCTCCCCCATCACGTCCTGTGCGTCGTCGTACTCGTCGTTCTCCTCGGCCTCCATGCCTCAGATCCCTGTCGCCTCTGTGACCCCCAGCACCTCTCTGTCAGGTGAGTCCACAGGGACCGGCTTACTTTTGTTTCTCTTCTGCCACTGTGGGAATCAAGACGAATCATTGCTCCCTGCAGGTTCTGGCACCTACACGACATCATCCCTCAGCACAAAGACCACCTCTGCCTCYGACCCCCCCAACATCTGCAAAGTGAAGCCGCAGCAGCTGCAGGGTGGAAGCTTGTCCTCCTCTAACAGCAACAACAGCAGCACCAGCTTCTCTCAGCTCAGCTGTGTGCCCCCCCTCCTCCCCCAGCAGCAGCAGACCCCCCAGGTGTACGTCTCCCAGTCTGCAGCAGGTAACTGAGCCTGGGGTTCACAACCTTTTTACACTTCCCTTAGCAAAAAGTACTATACTTGAAGTTCATTTTAATAAGTATACTTGAGTATAAGCTTTAAGTATATCAAATATACAAGGCACCATGTACTTGTAGTATACTTGAAAGTATACTGATTTAATACTCGTTCATACTAAATTGGGACATTTTAAGTATATACTTTAAGTATACTGTTATAATGTTAGTATATTTTAACTACTTGTCATTAAGTATACTAAATTTATACAAGTGTATGTCCCTAAGTGTACTTTTATTTACCATGTACAATGATATAAGTATACTAGCAGTTTACTAACAACTACACTTCTAGGACTAAGTTGGCCCACAACAAGTTTACGAAAGTATAAGAAGTATACTGAAAGTAATCTATGTATACTTTTAGTTTAATCTTGAAATATACTACAAATAAACCAGTCTGTGTGAAAAGTGTACTGCTAAAGTTTGTCTTGGCCAAAACTTTAAACATTACTATAGACTAAGTATACTTTGGGTTTTTTTTAGTATACTTTTAGTACAAGCCAAGTATAGTTTAAGATAAACTTGTATATCTCAGATAAGTGCATAAAAAGTAAACTGGAAGTATACTTTTTTWATTTTAAGTTTAAAATTAGTATACTTAAAGGATACTTGCATATACTGCTTTTTGCTAAGGGTACCCCTGAATTTTTTAGTCATACCAGTAGTACCCTCTGTCAAACGT